AACACCAAGGACATGATGAAAAATCATGTCGTTGGAGGATTGAGAAAAATAGTGAAGAAGAAGCCCAGGCGAAAGAAGTTGAAGGCCTGGGAATTTTGGACAAATTGCAAGGAGATGCAAGGGACTATCTTAATACAAAAAGAACTGGGCAACTGGAAGATGAAGCAGCAAAAGCAAGTTTGGGTGTGCAACAGGCTTCATAAATCGAAGGAGGAAAACAGGTTGTGAATAAAAACAACGAGAGTGTAATTAATCAAGCAGCTATGGATAACACAGCAGGTGATGTCTCAAAGGTGGATAAGGGTCCACAACCACCCTCTCGTGATGTGCCTGCTAGGATAGCTCTAGCAAGGATTGCTAATGCTGTGAATCCTATTGTGCAAGCTTATGATAAGCTTGCTAGTGCTGCAGCTATTTTGTCAACATGTGCAGGTTCAAAAGGAGTTGTTGATCCTAAAAAAAGTCCTATTGATCCTACTAGTAAGGTAGTAAATCAAGAGGTGCAACAAGTTGGAGGAAACACAATGGTAGAATCTACAGCTGCCAGAGTTTCAAAAAGTGGTCATGCTGTGATTGCTACACAAGCGGTTGATCGAGATGATGAGACTGTACAAGTAATTACTAAGGAAGGTGGAGATCGAGGTGAGCCTACTCCACAACCGTGTGATGTAAAGGTTGTAGGAGACGAGCTGGGAAAAAATCCAATGCAAACCTCTGATAATGTAGCTACTGCCCAGATTTTAGACAAAGAAAAAGTTGGTAATAAGAGCTTATTGATGGAAAGTAAGACTGGGAAGATAGTAGAGGATGATAAGGGAGGTGATATGAACAAAAAGGTAGGAGATTGGAACGTGGTAACAGGTAGAAAATCTCCTACAAAGAAAGGGGGTTCACCAAAAACACAGAACCTGGGTGTTCGACCAAATGCCTCTAACATTGATACCAGCTCAAATTCCTTCGATGTTCTTACTGCTGCTGGGGACATTGAAGCTGATGCAACTGATTTGAATGATAATGTGATAGCTAAACAAATTGTTCCAATGGACAGTAATGAACGAGGAAGGAAAGACAGTGTTGAGGTAGCACCAAATTTGGGTGTTCGACTAAATGACACAAAGAGTAAGAAGGGGAATGAATTAATTGGCACCCAAGCTCACAGCTCCAATGCACCAGTTCTGCATTTTTCTAATCCTAATGTAGAACAAATCATCAAGGATGCTCAAAAGGAAATGTTGATGAATAATCCCATGGTTAAGCAACCTTTGGTCACCTTAAATACATCCGTATTTGAGGTTCCTTCGCAGTCAAGGGAATCTTGTGGAGAGTTTGAAGGAGAAAGTGGGCAGCTTATGTTGTCAACGGGGAATAACAATGAGGCAATACATGCAAACGTGAGGTTGATGGCTATTAAATCCAAGTTGTGGCAAGATCAACGCGAGGAAGATGATGAAGAAGATTGGGGTGATGGATTTGCAGGGTATTTATCTGATGAAGGTGAGCAGCAGGTTGATCAGGAGAGTGCAGGTGAGGAGCTTGATCCTCCTGTAAAGCCAAATCTTCATGGGACAACATCATCAAGTCCCAAGAGTAAATTAAACCTCCATGCACCTGCCTTCATTCCCAGAACTTCTCCAATTGCTGGTAACAAAAATATAGTAGCTGGAAGTTTGGTCCAAGCAGTAACATATTCCAAGCAGGCTACACCAGGTGATACAATGAATCAAATGAAAGTCCCACAAAGACCTGGTGTGCAGCAGCAACAAGGTAATCCAAACAAGTCAGCTAATACTCCAACTGATGATCGAAAGGCAGCAGAAATGTTAAGAGCTAAACAGCAGCAAATTGTGACAACCATGCCAGAGATTTCAGAAGAAGAAAGAAAGCTTTTAGATGTAATGGTAAGTGCTAATCCTATAAAATCTTTAAATACTATTGCTGGCAGCACTGGTCGTACAAATAGAAGCAGGAGCAAATTGCAAACAGTAACACAACAACAACAACAAAAGGAAATAATGGCAAATATTAAGGATGGAAATACGTTGGTGACACAAGGTGTTGGTCAAGAATTACCAAATCTGGTGCTCGCGAGTAGAGATGTATATGCAGAGGCGGAGGAAGATGACATTTTAAACCAAAGACGGGTAGAGGCAGCAAGAAAAGGTGATTTATCACCTATGCATAGTGGCAAAAGAAAGAAGTCACATACAAGAGAAAAAAGTTGGGACGGTAGGGTGAACGAAGATGCAAACATAAGGCGACTTCCTATGAGAGTTGCCAAACAAAAGCAGATTACCCAAACTACATCCACAAAATCCAATCGATCAAAAAAGAAAGCATGAAATTTGAAGACATTCTAAAGAAGGTAGAGGAAGAAGACAGCCAGATACAAATTGAAGATTTCACAACATTAGAGAAGAGAGAACACTACTGTTTTTTCTACATATTTTTATTCTACCATCACATTAGTATAGTTCTATGTAATATCATCACAGAGTATGTTATAAACTCTGTGATGATCATAGAATATCTAGTCCTAGCTAGTTCTTTCTTTTTACATGCATTCTAGTAGGTGAGGCTTTTTTTATTTGCCTCAATAGGATTAGTAAGGTAAGGTTTAGCCAGGTTGTGTTGCTCTAGCCCTATGCCCTTGGAAAGATATCCAAATGGCTATGAGATTATATGCCCTCGTAAGACTTTGCCGGCAGCTACACCATGATTCCTCTACATGAGGCTGTCATAAGAGCATTGTGAGGCGTAGAGGAGTAATTATATAGCCAAGGCATAGAGGTAACACTACTGGTGCTATTGTCCCCCTTATTTGTAGTCTTCCTATGTGGTTCTCTTTTTTGCTTTTTATTATTCATAAAACTAGCCCTAGGCACCTGCCTAGTGGATTTTTTACTAGGGTTTTCATGAAACCCTAGTAAAAAAATTAGGTTTTTTAGATAGGCAACGAAGACGAGCTTAGACTTAGGAGACCATGGATTCAAGACGAAAAATGAGAAAGATCTTACTCAAGGTCGAACCAAATAGCCTGAAACCAGCAAGAAAACCCAAGGTGTAAACAGACCGCCTAGGTTCCATGAGGATTTCCTCAAGGATCCAGGAATGGAGACACCATAGCAAGCAGGAGGCCATTTTAGGCCTGAGGTGGTGAGGAACCACTATAGGAGGGCAGTAGGTAAGTGACGACGAGGGTGAATTAGGGTTAGAGTTAGAGAGCATTTGAGAGACGAGAGAACAGGTGACGGCAGGGTCTGGTGGGAGAATGATTAGTGTTTTGGGGGTGCAGGGAGGTTTAATTATGGTAGGAAATATCTTGACAATTTGATTAAAGTGATCAACGGCCAGGATTGGCCAAGGGGTTTGGGTTGGGTAAATACGGATTGGGCCTAATGGGTTTTGGGCTAGTTTTGGTTTAATATAAAGGGGTTTTGGGCTGGTAGATTTTAGGTTAAAATTGAAATAAAAGAGGCTATTTGTTAAATACCCCAAACAATTGATTAAAAATAATTTGTTAAATAGTTACTAGTCGTAAAAAATGATTTTTCATGCATGGGAATGTTTTAAAAATAGTTATTTATTATTTAAAAAATACAAATAATAATTTCTGGTAAAATAATACAAAAAATATATGCATGGGCTATAATTGCAAAGTTATTGCAATTATAGCCAAAATATGCCAATTTGGCTATTTATGAAATAATTTGGACTCAATAGGACCGTAATAGTAATATTAAATCAAGACATGTTCTAAATTTGATGCAATTTTACAATTATTTATATGAAGAAAATATTGAAATAAATTAACTTAAGGATGTCAAAATTATGGGAAAATACCCATTGATGCTAATGCATAGTTTTAAAGGCATATATGCAATTCAAAAATATTATGGGAAAAAATTGGGTATCAACAATCATTAGGTAACCCCTAGTAGCTACACTCCTGCATCTGTCGCTTCGCCATCGCAGGTGCCATCACAGGTAAGTTTCACTTCTCTCTTTCTATCCTCTCTCTCTCTCTCTCTCTCTCTCTCTCTCTCTCTCTCTCTCTCTCATTCTCCTTCTCTTCCCCTCCCCCCCCTCTCTCTCTCTCTTCTTTCTTTCATCTTTTTCGGTATCTTCTGGCCTATCTCGCTGCTAGCGTCATTTTCTTCGCCCCGTCTTTCTCTGTTCGGGTGGGTACAATGACCAATCGGGATGAGCGTGTTTTCGGCGATTGCTACATGTCCGACGACCCTTGTAGCATATTTTTGGTGACCCATCTTGTCTTGTTCCATATTTTCCGTCCTATCTCTCTCTCTCCTTCTGTTTGTGTGTGTGTGTGTGGGGGGGGAGGGGTGCATTATGTTTCTTTAGATAGGTGCAGCATTTTCGTTGAGAGGACATGTTATTTCCCGACGTGTGTACCGATTCCCGGCGAGTTTCAGAATTCCAGTGAATTCCAAACAGCTTTCCAGCGAGACGCAACAGGACAATCAGTGGTCTTAGCAGATCCGACATACTTAAGGAAAACTCGCTCCAGGACTTTTCATTCCGTCTTTGGTATTTGTGGTATCGGTATTTTTTTTGCTTGCCTGTCTCTTTGACATCTACAGTATGTCTTTGGTATTTTTGGTATCGGTATTTTTTGTTGGCTTGCCTGACTCTTTGACATATACAGTTCTTGTTTTAAATTGTATTTAGTTAGACTTGCCTTCTTATATATGTCTCCGTCCATTACTTTAGTGTTATAGCTAATACATAATTTGTGTCTTCTTACTTGTACCCTTTACTATCACCTTGTGTACTTGTAGGGTTACTTTTTTAGTCTATGCTTTTTGTAGCTTTATGATAGTCTACTAGCCACGCCGAGCTATGATAGAGTGAGGTCATGTCCTCGGGGGGAGCGATGGGGGAGGGGGCGGGGGGGGGGGGGAGGGGCGGTAGAGTGTAAGAGTGGTAGGGACGGTAACGAACCATGTAGGTTAAGAGCGGGGTCATAGAACATATGGACTTTAATGGGAAAGTCTATAGAGTTAGCAAAGATTCTCTATAAGAGGAAGATAAACATAGTCTGTGTCCATGAGACTGGATGGGTGGGGAACATGGCTCGACAGGCTGATGGGTTTGATTTGTGGTATTCAAGGAGGGTGAGAGGGAAGAACGTGGTAGGCATCTTAGTTGATAGGGATCTAATGGAGCTAGTGGTTGAGGTTAAAAGGGTGAATAACAGGTTGATGGCCATTAAGATAGTCGTGGGAGGGTATTTTGAACGTAGTTAGTGCTTAGGCACCTCAGGTGGGTTTGAACGAGGAGGTTAAAAGGCGCTTCTAGGAGGATTTGGATGGGTTGGTACGGGGTATGCCGTCAATAAACTTATTATAGGGGTGATTTTAACGACCATATTGGGAGGTTGCTTGGGGGATACGACAATGTGCATGGTGGCTTCAGTTTTGGAGATATAAACAGAGGAGGTACCTTGCTGTTGGAGTACGCCAAAGCTTTTGAGCTGGTGATTGCTAACTTGTGTTACCCGAAGAAGGTGGAGCACCTAATAATCTTTCGGAGTATGGTAGCCAAGACCCAAACTTATTATCTACTTCTCAAAAATATGATAAAGGTTTATCCACGGGTTGCAATGTCATCCTGAGTGAGAATCTTGCGACCCAACATATGCTTTTGTGTTATGGACTTAAAGATTAGGTGGACGAGGAGGAATAGGGCTATGTCTGGTATATCTAGGGTCAGGTGAGGTGTATTGACTAAGGACAAGGATCAGGAGTTGGGGGAGAAGTTGCTGGCTATAGGGGCGAGGAGTAGCGGGGACGCGAGTTGTATGTGGTCTATGATAGCGAATTGTATTAAAGCGACATCGAGAAAGGTGTTAGGGGTCTCGAAGGGTTTTTCTGGTGGCCACAAAGGGAACTGGTGGTGGAACGAAGAGGTTCAAAGGAAAGTGGAAGCTAAGAAAATGGCATACTTGAAGCTAGTAGAGAGCATAGACGAGGGGCAAAAGAGGGCTAACAGGAAGGCTAGGAAGGAGGCAAAGTTAGCGGTTATTGCGGCTAAGACTGTGGCATTTAGTAGTTTATAAGAAGAAATTGGGAAAAAAGGCGAGGACAAGAAGTCGTATAGGTTGGCGAAGGTGTGGAAGGCCCGAGATCTGGACCAAGTGAGGTGCATAAAAGAAGAGGAGGGTTGAGTTTTGTTGGAGGGGCACATATTAGGTAGAGATGACAGTTTTACTTCCATAAACTCTTGAATAAAGAGGGAGGTAGGAGCATTGTGATGGGTGAGTTGGAGTACTGGGAGCGACATTGAGATTTCGGGTACTGTAGACGCATACGCGTTGGGGAGGTTGTAGGGGCTATGTGGAGGATGATTAGGGGCCGGTAGAGCGACCAGGCCGGACGAGATCCTAGTGGAATTTTGGAAGAGCGTGGGTAAGGCGGGCTTGGAATGTCTTTCTAGATTGTTTAACGTCAGTTTTACAACGAAGAAGATGCCTGAAGAGTGGAGGCAGAGTACAATGATTTCATTGTACAAGAACAAGAGAGATATCCAAAACTACAACAACTATAGGGCTATCTAGTTGTTATGCCATACGCCGAATGTGTGAGAGAGGGTGCTCGAATGAAGGAAGAGGAGAAGTGTGTCCATTTTCGAGAACCAGTTTGGTTTCATGCCAGGACGGTGGCCATTAACATTGTAAGGAGATTGGTGTAGCAGTATAGGGAGATGAAGAAGGACTTGCATATGGTGTTCATTGACCAGAGAAAGCCTATGACAAAGTCCCGAGAGAGGTTCTATGGAGATATTTGGAGGCTAAAGGAGTGCCTGTAGCATATATTAGAGTGATCCAGAACATGTATGATGGAGCTAAGACACGAGTTAGGATAGCGGGAGGAGACTCTGAATACTTTTCTATTAAGATGGGGTTGCACAAGGGATCAACACTTAGCTCGTTTTTGTTTTCCTTGGCAATGGATGCATTGACGTGACACATTCAAGGGGATGTGCCTTGGTACTTTTTATTTGCGGATGACATAGTCCTGATTGATGAGAAGCGAGGTGGTGTTAACAAGAGGCTGGAGGTCTAGAGACATACTATTGAGTCTAACGGTTTCAAGTTGAGCAGGACCGAGACTAAATACTTGGAGTGCAAGTTCAACGGTGTTACCCAGGAAGCGGATGAGGATGTAAGGCTTGATACACAAGTCATTCCTAGGATAGAGAGAGAGTTTCAAGTATCTAGGGTCTATAATTCAGAAGGATAGGGATATTGATGAGGATGTCATACATCATATCGGAGCAGGGTGGATGAAGTGGAGGCTCGCTTCCTGTGTCTTCCGTGATAAGAATGTGCCTTTGAGACTTAAGGGTAAGTTCTACAAGGTAGTAGTTAGAGCGACTATGTTGTATGGGGAAAAGTGTTGGCCAATCAAGAACTCCAATGTCCAGCAGATGAAAGTAGTTGAAATGACGATGTTGATATGGATGTATGGGCATACTAGGTTGGATATAATTAGGAATGTAGTTATTCGGGACAAGGTGGGAGTGACCCATGTGGAGGAAAAGATGCGTGAGGCGAGGCTGAGATAGTTCGGTCATGTTAAAAGGAGAAGCACAGATTCCCCAGTCAGGAGATGTGAGAGGTTGACCTTGGGGGGGGGGGGGGTAAGAAGAGGGGTAAAGGTAGGCCAAACAAGTCTTGGGGAGAGGTGATCAGGCGGGACATGGCGCAACTTGAGCTAACTGAGGACATGACCCTGGATAGAAAGGTGTGGAGGTTGAAGATTAGGATAGAAGGGTAGTAGGTAGTCGTGTGTTTCCCTTTGTCTTAACTAGTTCGATAAAATTAGTTTTAGTATGGTATCCCTTTTATCCTTAGTATGCTATTATCGCATTTCTTGTTCAGTTACTACTTGCCATAAGTACTTCCGTAGTTTGCTAGCAGTACTTCTTTCATGCTTTCTTTTGCTACCTTAGATTTAATTTTCTAAATATATTATTTTGCTATTACTTGCTATCGGTACCTCTTTCATATTCTCCGTTGCTATCTTCAATTTGGTTTTCTAATTATATTATCTTGCTATTACTTGCTATCAAAGCTTCTTCCATCTTCTTTAGCCGACGGTCCATCGGAAACAGTCTCTCTGCCCTTCCAGGGTAGGAGTAAGGCTGCGTACATCCTTACCCCACTTGTGGAATTATATTGGGTTGTTGTTGTTATATGTCATATAACATGATGGTTTAAGGATCGAGTACAAAATATATTAGTTGTCCGACCGTTAATATAATTAAGTTCATAAAAAATCATAATCTATGTTTAAGAATGATACAAAATTATAATATGTGTGTGTGTGTATTGATGTTTGGCTATCATTATATATTTTTAGTGCATTACTTACCTAACATTTAGGTGCTTTAATTCTAAAGTATACTATATTTGTGCTTAATTAAGTTTATTTTATGTGTAGGTACGTTAAAGACGAAATTGGGAGTAAAAGAGAGATTTCATGTGTATTTTATGCACTACAAAATGGCTTGTGATTATTTAACGATGGAAAATATTATGATATCATGATTGGATAATGATTGAAGACAAATTTATTCAATGATAATGTGTGCAAATTGATGTGAGATGAAATTGGAAAGCAAAAGAAAGAAATGAGAGTGTTAGGCAACTAGCACTAACAAAAGACTGTTGATACCCAATTTTTCCCTGCATATTTTCACATATACAAAATACTTTTAAAATAACATATATATGCATATATAAGCATGCCTAAGGATTTTAGTATTTTTCCCAAAATTATCAATTTTGGTGAATAATTTATTTTATTCCCATGTTTATACAAAAACATAGTTAAGGTAATTTTTTTTATACATTTTTTACAAATTTATTTGGTATTTTAAAGCTAAATTGCATATAATTGCAATTCTAGCCTATTTTAAGTTTAATAGCATTTTAATTATAAAAATTGGTTCAAGTATTTTTTAAATTAATATTTATGTGTTTTTAACTGACTCAGTACCTTTAATTTGCTTTAAAATCATTTTACTATTTTTTTTATAAAATAAAAAGGAAAATTGGCTATTTAACATTTAGCCTCATTTTGTTGCAATTACAGCCTATTTACATTTCAATTTTAGCCATCAATTGACCCAATCCTAACCCCAATTAGACTGGCCCAATTTCAATTTTACCCAGCCCCTTAACCCGTTTACTTAACCCGCCCGACCATTCTTTCAATCCAGGTCGTTGATCATTTTGATCAACGGCCAGGATTGTCCCTTGCCATTTTTAATTTCCCTACCCTAACCTAATCCCCCCATTTCGTTTGGTCCGCCGCCTTTGAATACTCTCCTCTCTCAAAACACTCTCGAAGGTTCTCCAGAACCCTAGTCGTCTTCAACCCTTTTTCCACCGTACTTTCGCCGGAATCCATGGCTTCTCAGGCCAGGGATGGTCTGTACTCACCCCCCTCCACCATTAAACCCTGGGTGTTTGAAGTGTTGAGGTCTGACCTCGATGGTTCTCTTTCAGATCTTCTCAGAGCTATAGTTCTATGGCCTCTCCGGCCTTTGCTCCTGCGCATTCAAGCATTTCGAGCCTATTTCCGACCTCTCCGACTCAAGATTGTGCTTTCTTCCAAGCCTTTCTCATTTCTAGAGTTTCTCCGAGACCCTAAGCTATTCGAGGTTTTTCTCTGTCTGTTTTCTTAGATCTATGCTATATCCGTGTTTTATTGGATTTTCAAGGTGATTTCCCAATCTTTTCTTTCAAAATTATTTCTCTTCGATTTAGGGTTTCTGAAAGGATTTCAAAACGTCTTTCTGATTCTTCCTTTTCTTTTCTTTATATGTGTTTGCCTATACTATGTTTTACCACGCATGTGTTGTTCTTCTGCTTTTCTTTCTACTATGCATGACTCTCCTGTACTTTGTATTCTACCGTGCCTTTAAACTAGGCTCGCATATCAATCTTTTTTATGTTTTTCTATCTGTCCTTTGCTATACTTTTCAGTATTCTTCTACTGTATGTGTTTCCTACTGAGTTCTTAAGTTTATTTGCCTTTACTGAACTTCTGTTTGAGTTCTAAACATGCTTCCTTTACTGTTTCTTAACTTTATATCACTTCTTCTCTCTTCTGAACTTGCTTGAGCTTCGAGCTTTTCTCCAACATGTTCTTTATGTTTTCAAACCTGCTATCATATCTGTTTGTTTCTCATGAGTCTCTGAAAGAGACCTCTGAGCCTGCTTCAATGGCTTGTCTTCTCATCGATGTATCAGATTCGAGTTGAAACCCTAGGATCTCAGGGTTTTGGCAAGTTTGATTTGGTGTTTGGACTTGGGTTCTACTTTGGAACCCTGAACTACCAGACTCATTCCGAGTCTATAAATTAGACTGGAACCTCTTTGTTTATACCTCGGAACTTTTCTATGATAGGTTTTCTAATTAACATGACAACTCTTTCTTGTTTGACATACCTGTGTGCTTTATATATGAGAAATTCTTCCTTCAAAAAGGTTTTACCAACTTATTATTGATTCCGAATTCCTTTTAGTAAGGTTTGATTGATTGTTACTGATTTTCCTTAAGTAAAACCCTTTCCTCTCTTTTCCTGACTTGGTTCATTCGAACAAAGCCTGCAATTTTGATTTTACTGACTGTTTGATTGATTCTCTTTCCTTATTCTCACAAACCGTGTTACTATCAAATTCTTTCCTTGAATAGACCCCTGTGTAATTGCCCTTATTTTACTACTTTGGAAGTTTTTTTGAGCAAACTCTTTCCTTATTTAATTTTGCCCGTTTGAAATCAGAATCCCTTAATTAAAGGGAATCCTTTTTGTAATTGAGTGCAAAATTATTGTCTTACCTTTTTCTTACTTGCTTGCTGCACTATAAAAGGGGACGACCCTTCTGCACTTTGACAACTTCCAATTGAATACTTTAAGACAACTTTGAGTTCAATACTCTAACATACGTACATACTTTCAATTTCAATACTCTTACACTTCACCCAAAACTCTACTCTCTTCTGAGACCTGCTGATTGTTTGCTTGCAATTTGGTTTTCAAGGCTAC